GTATTATTTTTATGTATTGATAACTTTTTATCACCAATGAGTGGCTGGCTCTGCTCACTAATGTTATAGCAGTGGTCACTGAACGGCCACTGGTGGTTTAATGAAAGTTACATATAGAACATTTTATATAATGAGCCTAAATAAATCTTATGTTGCAACCTTGAACTAAATATTGCTTTACTGCGTTCAGTAGGTGGATCTGTAGCTTGGTACCAACAGAAACCAGCTGCATTTCAGCATACTACCATTCTGTGAACATGAAGCACCTAAAGTAAATTACAGGAGCAGAGAGTGGAAGTGGAAACGCTTTGGCATCTCTGTAATATACACACTCACCCATTCTCATCTCGACTCCAGAGATCTATCTAAAATGTTTGAGATGCAGCAGAGACAGGTTGCATTTCACATCTGGTGATGTGAAGTCTCAGATGTATCTTGAGTGAGTCTCTGTAATAAATAAATAGCACCATCAGCCCTGTGTGGTGACTGACAGGCTGTCCGTTTACTCCTCAGGGCTCAAGACGTGGAGGGCAGCAATGTGGAAGAGCACTGTCCGGGACAAACCAAGCGCATTCGGAACACAGGTAAGATCTTCCTGAATGAAAGATAATAAACGTACTGAAGGTGGGAAGCATTTCTAATACACTGTGGAGTCATTTTAGAAACCTACTAATGGCTCAAGTTACTACCTGAGTTAAGTGTTTATAACATGAATGTCTGCATTGAATTTCATCTGATAGTTGTTGAGACATTTCAGTCGGGACCAAACAGGCTTAAAACAGTTAGCCTTCAGAGCCATCCACACCAAAAACTATTGCGATAACGATCCAGTCGGTCCACACTAATGAACGATAATATCCTATTAGTGCTGGACGCAGAGAGACAAAAAGAGAACCAGAAGGTTGTATAAAAAAATTAAAGCTTGCAGTTCCTTCATGCTACGCACATAGACAAATAAAACATTTAATTAATAAAATAATAGGGAAAAAAATAAATAGGATAAAATAAACCAATATATAGATATTTTTATCCAGATATACAGAAAATAATTCTGCATTATTGAATCTGTGTCTGGTTGAATGTAAACAGCAGCAACAACATGACTAGAGGCCATTTCTGTAAGAGATGAGACACATTTCCGCAATAAATCCGAAAACAGATTAAAAGAAAAACAGAGGGTCGCCCTGGTAGCTCACCTGGTGGAGCTGTCATGTATCGGTGCTGGGCTCCTGTTTCAGCAGCCATGGTTTCAAATCCAACTTGTGGCCATTTCTCTCTCCTTTCTTTCCTATCACTCGCCATCAATAATGTTACATAATCTGTCCCTCCAGGATTTTGCAGGCTTTTTGGGGGGATTATTGCAGTTTAAAATGGCTGATTTCACACAGATTTTCTAGAGTTGACGTGATTGGGCAAACTTAAGGGTAACTGTTGCGATTGCAACTTCCTGGAGGAATTGATAAGCTTTAAATAAGTTAAATACAACAATATCGTTCATCAGATCTCTCTGAAAGTGATCCCAACAATATCGTTTTTGGTGTGAACGGCCCTTAACTCAGAACCATCACTGGTTTTCATTCTAAGATTTTCTGTTCTGCAGAATTCTTCGTTCATTTGAACGAAGCAGTGAAGCTTCGGTGTCTGCAACCTTCCAACCTGGCCAATCTGACCTGGACCTCCAATCCAATCAAAACCCTGTCAGAGGAATTCTTCATCCAGTCAGCTGATGGCAGTTTGCGCTTCCTCGCCTCCGCGGACACCGTCGGGACATACCACTGTGAGGCAGAGGAAGACGGGTACAAGGAAGTCATTGTAGGCTATAACGTCCGACTAAATGCTCCTCCGCGCTCCATGAGCCCCATTACGAAGGCTGAACAAAAACCCAACAACAAAGACGAGTCCGTCGAGGAAATTTCTCTAGAAGAGGAAATGACCAAACCGTCAGGAAACCCGGAGGACTACACCACAAAGGACGAAAGCGATGAAGTCACAACCAATTTAAAAGATGAGACCATCTCCACTAAAGAAGATTCTGGATCGGAGAAGAACTTCCAAGACAGCAGTTCTGACTTCGCCCCGACATCTAGAAAAGAAACCCAGTTCAGGAAGGAGCTGCTTGATAATTCTCAAAAGATGACAAAAGTGAAGAGTTACTACAGCGAGATGGTTGTAGTTTCCCTCCTGCTGGCGGCCTGCATCTGTGCCCTGATCCTCGGAGGACTCCACATGTGGCGCCAAAGGAAAACTCACCTCAAAATGAATCCTGTGGTCAGTCCGCAGGATAGCAGCAAAAATCAATCTATGGAGAGTGTTCCCTCTCTGAGCAGCCCAGAGGATCCTGAGGTGAAGGTGGTGGAGTAACGATGTTTAAGTGAAAGAGCTCGTCTTACGATTCCGTGTCTTTGTGGTTGATTCTGTGTATTGTTGTTTTGTGTCTCTTTGGAGTTTCCATAAGAAATGGTTGATGTATCTTGCGTTGCTTTTTGCCTTTTTGGAAAAAGCGTTAATGCACTTGATGGGAGATGAAAAGACTTTTTTGAATAATCCCCAAATTTCACCAGGTGCAGCTTCGTGGCGTTCCAGCTCTGCAGCTGTCGCCACACTAGACAACGCTCGTGATCCCGCTCTGCTTCACGGATAATACGCAGCTGGTCTATTTTTCACGTCGAGCAGCGCAGAGCAGATTACACTGGCAGAAAGTCAGACACAGAGAATCCAGTCAATTTTCCAAAGAAAACAATGCGTGCACTCAGCGGATCGGATTTCACGCTACATGTCAGTTAGAAGAGATTTAAGTAGAGAAAGACGCAGTTTTGTTTCCTTTATAAAGGACAAAATACATAAGTAAACAACATCTGGCAGAAAGACGCTCTCTGCAAGATCACAGAGCCACGGCGGCGGCGTGCCGTCATAAAGCTGTGCCCGGGGTAACATTTAGGACGATCTGCTAGCAGAAATTGAATATAATATTGTTTTCATCAGTGTATAATTGCCTGACATTAAGAATCATTGTGTGTTTGTTACCTTAGAATGAGACGTTTTTATCTACAGAGGGAGCAGCTCCTCTTCTGGTGGAGTCCGCCATGTTGAACCCCCAGGTTTGTACAGTAGCCCAGAATAGGACAGATAGAGGCGTTGCCATGCCACTAAATCCTACAAGCTGGTCCTTTAAGTTTACGGATCGGGATCGAGAACCGGTTTGAAATTGTTTCTGTGCATCGTAAAACAAGGATGTCAGACTGGCGGACTTCAGTGTCGCAGTACCAAGAGAGTCTATAACTCACTTACTGCAGCAGAATCCTGAACACAAACGCCTCGTGTCTCAGCCGAAACTGATCCTAACGTTCACTGTAACGTAGTTTCAGTGAAGCTGGTTTAATGTGTTGAGAACAGGTCTATCTAGTATTGATCAGTGATTGGTTTAAATTGGGTAAGATGCAGAGACATTAAAATTAAATTAATCGTTGAATGATGTTTTTGGTGAATCATTTTTATTAAATGATCTACAGTCGATGTTTAAAATCAGGGATTAGTTTATAAAGATATCGAATCCACTCTTTTGTTGGTATATTTGTATGTTATGAACAGTTATTGATCGCTCTGTGAATGTATGTAAACAGGATGAATGTAACGAGGGCCGGGACCGATATATCTATACAGATATATGTAGATATGGATATTTTAGTGATTATCAGTAACATGTGAAATACAGCTAGAACCAAACTGTCTGACATGTTTGTAGTTTTTTAATAATTTAATAATAAAGGAGCGTTTGCTGTTTATCACAAGCTGTCTCAAATTTAAAGTACAAAATGTGAAAATGTTTAATATTTATTGTTTTTAATATTTAGAATTAAAATGACTGGTAACGATGTTCTTATATATTGATTTATGTCCCGGCCCTTCATGTAATTTTAATTCTGTTTGTTTACGGAAGCCCTCATTTTTATTTTTTTATGTTTGTGAATGAAAAAATAAATGTTTTCACTTGCCTTTCAGGGCTTCCGTAGATGAGCTTGTATTGATGAATTGAAGTGTACAGATCAGTTTACTGAACTTTGTTTTATTGTTTTTTATGACTGCAGGGATTAAAACGGGTTTTGCTCTTATAGAATATTTATTTGTATTTACTTTAGCTTCTCCTTTAACGATCCTCTTACAGCTGCTCCCAGATCTGTTTCTGAGCTCCTGGTGAGAGACCACACTGCCATCTGCTGAGCAAATCAATAGAAACACAGTTCATCCGTTTCTGTTGTATCAGTGTTTTCAGTATTTATGTGACAGTTCCACATTATTGCAGCGACCTTTGACCTGTGCTGAGTTCATTATGAACAGTACCATGCCTGTAACAGTAAAACACCGTCCTATCTTGTGGCAAAACCTTTATTTATACTGTATTTCAAAAGAATTGATATGGAATAAAGTAGTTTATTTATATTAATATGGATTGTAAATTGCACAGAAACACATCGTCATATCTCATTCTTTATACAGAATCATATCGTAGTTTCATTTGGCAAAAAATCAACAGTATTAATATCTTTTTACATCACATAATGTTATTGTTGTTGTTGTTGTTTGTATATTATTGTTATTGTTGTTATTGTTGTTGTTGTTGTAGACAGAAAGCAATCAGCTGATCGATCAATAAACAGTGAATCTGTCAGAAAGAAGAATATAAAGTCTGATTGTTAAAATGATAAAAATACAGAATACAGAGAACGGATCAATATATCAGGAAACTCATCTGTGATCAATATTCACAGGAAATAAAACCAAACAGTGTTCAGTGTTTATGTGACCTTTGAACTCTCTCTATGAGGAAGTAAACATGGAGCCGATTCTTGGTAATGATGCTGGTTGTGCTGCCTTCAGGGGCTGTCGGAGAGAGCACCACTGCAGTGCGAGTGGGACACAGCTGCTTTTGAGGAAATATGAAATATTCTTTAGTGTTGATGACATTCACACATTAAAGCTCTTTGTCTGACTCTTGTTTGTGGCAGTGAGGTTGATTTGAGGTTTTATAGTTTTATTTCAGCTGGAAAGTTTTTCGGCCGTCAGATTTACGAGTTTATGACGAGCACCTGAAGGCAACATTGCTTAAACCTGGAAGAGTTCGGACAGATCCCGGACCTCCTGAAGACCTGGACCCAGACTGCAGGTACTCTCCTCTACTGGCACAAAATATCATCCTTTCTTTCTTCAACCACATTAAAGAGCACCCCGGTGTTCAGGGTCCGGTTGTCAGGGTCCGGTTCTCAGGGTCCGGTTGTCAGGGTCCGGTTCTCAGGGTCCGGTGATCAGGGTCCGGTTCTCAGGGTCCGGTGATCAGGGTCCGGTTCTCAGGGTCCGGTGTTCAGGGTCCGGTGTTCAGGGTCCTGCTGGGGGTCTGTGAGTCTTCGTTATTAAAGGCAGCTGTTAGCACTTCCTGGTCATTCAACGTGGAACTCCTCACCAGACTCCATTTAAAATTGCGTGAATTTAAGATTGTTGAGCTCCTGAGGAGATTTGGACGCCGACTGGAGGAAAGTTTGAGAGCTCCAAAGACTCCAGACGGTCTCCTGGTCAGTTCGGTGGATTATAATCTAGTTTATGTAATAACCTTTATTTATTTCATGTTAAAATCAGCTGACAGTGTGCAGTCTCCAACCCAGTAGAACTGTCAGTGTTTATTTAACAAAGTCAATCAAAAATATGATATTCAAAAATACATATTGGAAAAGACAAACTACATTAAACAGCATGAGATTAATCTTAAATTACTTATTATGTTTTACTCCATATAGTTTCTGTTTAGGGCCCTTTATTCTTTATATTTATATATAAAACATAAAACCTTCCCTCTCTCCCTCTTGGGGTGGTATCTGTGTGTCATCCTCGAGCTCGGGTCCTCTACCAGAGGTCTGGGAGTTTGAGGGTTCTGCGCAGTATCTAGCTGTTCCTAGGACTGCGCTCTTCTGGACTGAGGCTTCTGATGTTGTTCCTGGGATCTGTTGGAGCCACTCCCCCAGTTTGGGGGTCACTGCCCCGAGTGCTCCTACTACCACTACTTTGGGTTCTTCTATTCCATACTGGGTACAGATGTTCCTGTACACTATTCCAGCCACTTGGTTGTGTCTCTCCATGTACGCTGACCCGGCTAGCCTCTTACACCCTGCTACTATGTGCTGGACTGTCTCAGGGGCATCTTTGCATAGTCTGCACCTTGGGTCAGATCTACTCTTGTAGATCTTGGCCTCTATGGCTCTTGTACCTAGGGCCTGTTCTTGTGCTGCCATGATCAGTGCCTCTGTGCTGTCTCTGAGTCCAGCCTTTTCCAGCCATTGGTAGGTCTTCTCCATATCAGCCACTTCTTCAGTTTGGTGGTGGTACGTGCCATGTAGGGGCTTGTCCCTCCAGGTTGTCTGCTCCTCTTCCTCAGCACAGTCTCAGGGTGCTGGATTTGTGGTGAATGGTGAGGAGCTGATATATATACATATATATTCTATTCTACTCTTCATACACTGATTCAGGTTATCAATCTATAACTCCATTATGACCCAGCAGCAGACAGGAGTCAACCTGATGATTAATGATCAATAATAGAATAGATATTATATTTATATTATAATAATATATTATTATTCTGACTTCCTGTCTGGTGCCACAGTGTTCATGTAGCTGTATTTTATTTTGAAAACTGAGCGGATTCTCTGTGTTGTTTCTGTGCTGACTTCCTGTGATGTGCTGCCTTCCC